TATGGTCCCTCAGAATCACTTTTGAGCAACAATGTTCTTGAAGAAAATTCATCGATTTTCATGRAGAAACAGAAKAAACGATTTGCGGAATTTCTTGAAGTCAATGCGAAAGAGTTCGAGGAGAATKCGRGTGACGAAARATGTGACGTYATGGAGCATGCAATCAGATTAACCGAGAAGGAACCAAATAAGCAAGCACCCCGGAGGTTTCCACATCAGTTAAGAAAGGAGTTGAATCGTATCATCGACGAAATGAGGGAGCACAAGGTGTAATCAAGGAACCGGATAGTTCCCTGGTCTCACCTGTGGCACTTGTACAAAAACGAGGTAGCTAGAAAGTGATTGGAGGAGACCTTATTTAATTTTAGATCAAATAAATAAAGTAGTCTTTCGGATAATGGAAACTAGTAGAGTGGGGAACACTTATTTAGGGGAAAAAAGGGAAAACATAGATTAGATTTTAAGCGTTGTTGTTTAAAAAAAAAAAGGGGAAAGCAAATAGGTTATGTTCTACAGAAAAAATTCTGTTTGTGCGTGTTTTCGTCTAGGTAAAGTTTGAAGATCCCACACAGGGCCGGAAAAGAGAAAAATCGTATTCGTTCTAAAGGAATGAAAACTGTCCTGGTGAAATATGATCAAATCCAATGAAAGACGTGCTGTCCAGAATTACAATGTTTGACACGGAGGAAGTCATTCTATCTTAAAAGGCATCCCATTCCGGACAGCTGTCTTGGCAACTCGTATCAAAGACCTCGTGGGGTTTTTCACACCATGGTTTTCCTTCGGACGAAGTGAAATTGGGCTCTGGGTGAATACCAGGTCAGTGAGTGGCGTGGTGGAGGCCATGAGGCCATGGCCATTGGCCATTTCCATGCCAGAGAGGTACGCCGGATCAACTGTGAGAGGACAAGTAGCCTGAGATGAAAGAGTGCCGAAATGAATAGAATAGCATTTTCCTGTTCGAAAAGTACTACAATTGTTGGGACAACAACTTTCAATAAAGAGGTCAATGTTGCGAGCAAGAGTGGGCAGCTCTGAAATGAAGACCATAAAGGCCGTTTTCCGATTGATTCGAGAAATTTTTATGGTGTGAGGTTACGAAAAATCTTGATAGGTTGCCGAAGCAAACTTACGTAACAGGTAATTAACGCACGTGATAGATACACTATGACGTCAGGCTACTTTTTATATTATATTTTTCCGTGCTTATACACCTGCAGCCTGAGCTTTCATTAATATACTCTTCTTTACGTTTCTCTCATAATCAATACATAGAATAAAAAGCAAGCGAGATTTAATTCAATAGTTACATCAATTATATTATATTAAATCAATAATAAGCAAAGAATTGGTTACATGTACATGAAATTTATTATATATGTTAATTATATATTTTGTTCATGTTGTAAAAATATTTAAGAAAAAGAAAAAAGAAACAAAACTCATTTTATAATTATGTATTTTAAATAGTTGATGAAAAATTCATGGTTTTAATTCATTAAAATAAAACTCGTCGTATAATTATGTATTTTACAGTGTTGACGAAAAAATCATGCCTTTAATTCGTATAATTATTAATGACAAATTTCTTCATTAAGAATTTCAATCGTGAAATACTTTAAATTTCTTTTTCTTTTTGTTTTTTTGTGTATATATATATATATTCAGACGAATGATAATTCGTCATTGAAAAGAATTTGTAAAAGGTTTCTATTAATAACAAATTGTAAATAAGTATTAAGAAAGACAAATATGTTGTTAAATTTTGATATTGTAGATAAATAAATACTTCGTTACGCTCAATATTATATTTTATATATAAAAATATACATAATAATAAATATATTCAAAATGTGCGTCTCAGTCATTTTAGGTATTTCGAAGTTTCAATATTCGTGCCTTTCCACTCTTCAAATCGTTGCTAAGCAAGCCCCGCTGGGCCTGTCAAGAAAAACGATCTTCCTATTCATTCGCTGGACCCCTACGAGGACAAATCGTAAATGACAAGAAAATAATATATACAAGAAAAATGATCGAAAAGTGGGACATGCTCATCTATCATTATAATTGATTTAATACCAAGGATTTTTAGGTCGCAAGATTTTTTCCTTACCAGCTAGTAATGTGTTATACTTTCTATCAACTCAATCATGTTTTTCAATTTTCATTTCAATTAAACTCTTTATCTTTATCATCATAGTTTATCAAAATCAGCAAAAGACTACATGTTGAAGAAACGTGTTAAAAAAAATTAACAAAAAATCCTGTAATATTACTTATACACTTATAATAACAATGATAATAATGTGGGATTCAGAAAAAAATGAAAATGAAATATATTATAATATTAATATCGGAGTTCGGAGAAAAATATATGATAGTTTATTTAATTACTAATTATGTCGAGCAATAATTTACAAATGTTTACAAAAAGTAACGTGGTTGCAAAAATACAGAGTAAAAAAGAGTTACAAATATAAGACCGACTTACTAACTTACTGATAAACTGATTGATTTGTAGAATGACTGATATAACAGATAATACACAGACGGATATAACAGACTGATTATCAAAGACTAAGGACAGATACAGACAGCACCTTTCTTATTTTCTTTCACATATTTATATCAGAAATGAGCTTCACACCCCTTTGGAGAGAACCCTTTTGGAAATGGAATGAAATTATGAGTCTTATTGAACAATATTAGAAGAATCCACCCCATAGTCCACCGATGGGTACAACTTATGTTTTTGATAAAGATCTTAGTGGAAGTTAAGCATAAAGCAACTTTGTATAAAACAGTAGAACAGTGGTTTCCAAACTTTTTTTTCCTATCACTCCCTTTCCCAAAAAAATATTGCTTATTGCTTGCTTGAAAAATTTTGTGTGACCTTTTTTTATGATAAATTGAGAAATGGACAAACCAAAATTATTTATTGCTAATGCACTCGTGTGCATTCGTGCACTAATGATCTTTTTTTAATTGCACACCACAACTCCATGACCTTTTTTTAATGCACACCGGCACACAAAGTTTCAGTTTTTACCTGAGGTCGTGTCAATCGCCTCTCTGAACCGTTTCATCGCCCACTTTGAGAGCTATTGGTCTATCATTTCTTCTTATGGTGTCACATGTATTTACATAAGAATCCGAAACCACTCAAAGGGCCCGACACTGCACAAAGGTTTTCGTCGCACCAATTTGTCTCGGTAATTCTTAAGTTTTTTCTGGAGATTTATGGCTCTCCCAGAATATTCCTCTTAATCTTTGAGTGGAGTTGTCCTCTTCCACTAAGATTGATAGTTTATGGAAAACTGGCTACATAAAAAGGCTTGTTATTGGTACACGATTCATTTCTATTGAAAAAGGTTCCTTTTGTATAGCAGAACATAAATCTGCCTGTCTGCCATCCCAAAACCGTGGCTTAAAGCTTGGGCGTACGATTGAAAACATGAAATTTAGGTGTGAAAAAAAAACATAAGGTACACAGTTTCTAATTAGGGAAACAGCTTGTATTTACATTAAGAAAACGCTGAAAAATATTGGCAGACAGTTTTCTAGGGATTAAAGTGTCGCCAGAGCGCGCCAAAGGGGTGTAAAAGTTAATTAAAAAAAAATTCACGATGTACATGAACAAAAACTATTTTATTTTATTATTTAAACATTAAGAAAACAATTTACTAAATGGCAGACAAAAATTTGGTGGCTAAAGCCTTGGCAGACTGCTTGAAAAAATTATATGGCACAACAGATGTCAACTTTCAATGACCTTACTTTTTTTGAAAATGCATCGATGCATCCGCTAGGTACAGTTGCACTTTTTTTCTTAAATGGATCTCTAGATTTCTTTTTATACCATTTGATTCTTTTTTTTATTCTGCGTCAAAAAGTACACTTTTCCAAACTCAAGCAATAAAAATGGAATGCTAAATGAGATAATTATAAATTGACACCAAAATGGTAGGATGTTTATCAAAGGAAATATAATTCGTCAGAAATTAGGTAAAAATAAATAATCCTTTTTTTGAAACTCAGGTATAACATTTTTTTTGTTAGTATGGTTTTCAATTTCCCGTTTTCATCTACTTTCTTGCGCTATATAACAAATATTTTAGGATAGACGAAAAACATATGGAAAATACTGCTGGACTAAACGAAGGTTCTGGTAAAATGCAATGAAAGATTTAATAAAGATATTCTCTAGAAATGTTTTTTCAACTCTGTAGCCTGCCATACTTCGAGACCCTTATTATTTATAACATATTTCGTCCTTATTCTTTGGACCACAAACTTATCTTTATAAATACTCTCATCTAAATAAAGATCTAAACAACAATATGTTAGGCCCAACGTGAACTATACCTGCTTGGGTGTACTCTCTTGATCCCTTAGAAAACCTGTTTAAACCTACCAGGCCTAGTAGATAAAACCTACACCTGCGCTGCATACTAATTTAAGGAACTTCCGTTTCTATTATTTTACGCCGAACATAAAATTTGAAATTTTAGGCAATCTCCCACTGTACCGTTGGAACACGAATAAGAAACCCTTACCTATGAAAAAACGCCCTTCTTCAAGAAGATTCCTAGTTGATTCCGATTTCCCTTAAAAGGGGCTCCCTCGACATCCGAAACTCTCTTCTTCTACTCTGACCATTGCGTTTGTAAGTTGTCTGTATCCGAAAGTGAATCTGTGTTAAATAAAGTTATTCTTTCCAAAAACTTGGAAATCCTTGTTTTCAATACAATTACAAGAATTCAATAGGCCGAATTCTTACGTTATCCGGAAATCAACGCGAATTTAACTTCACGCGAACATTTCCGCGTAACAGATAAATCAAAAAAACGCATTGAATCGTATCGCTCTCTCAGCTTATCGAACTGTGTACACTACGAGTCTCAAATTTCAGCTCCGTGATAAGCTTCACCGATTCACGCTGGGCGTTCAACATCTTAACCCTTTCGCTACTACGAGCGACTATAGTCGCTCTCCATGTGATGCCACTCAGGTACTACGGGCGACTATAGTCGCTTTCCATGTGATGCCGTTGAGATACTACAAGCGGCTATAGTCGCTCCCGCTAAAGATGTCGCGTAATTGTATATATGATAAGCGCCTGCAGTTGCTATGCATAGAGTATCTTACTCTAGACATGCCGCGTGAGTCTTTCGTTTTGCATCATTTGTTTTTTACGGGTTCAATAATAAACCAAATGCCTCAATCATCAGTCTTACGACACCGGCTCGAACGGTCTGTGCGGATTACATTAGTGCTTACAAATCGTAAGAACCCGTTGCAAAAGTGTGTAGTCTGTACTAAAAATGATAAGAGGAGGGAATCGCGATATCAATGTAAGATTTGTGATGTTGGCCTATGTGCAACACTGTGTTTTGAAAAATACCACACGCAGTATCATTATTAAAATCAATTCTAATCATACGCTTATATCATGTTGTATAATATTATTATATTGTGTAATATCATTTGATCTCAGTAAATAAAAGTGCGCATGTTAATAAATTATAAATACTCAGTTTTAAAAGAAGTTTTTTCGTCGAAAGTACCAGCCAAGAACGCAGCTTACAATAAGGCATTGATGCGACTGCTGCGATCGGTTGCGTGCACCGTGCACTGTTTCGGTGTAGCGCGCCGTACTGAGGGAGTACCACGGCGGAGATCCGCCCCGTAGCGAAAGGGTTAAAAATGTTTTTATTTTATTGAAAAATTAGTATAAGTTTCTTAAATACGCAAATATCACAATTTGTAATATAATTTTCATATATGCATGTTTCAGTACATCTCTTTGGATATTTTTCATAAAAACATATAAAAATCAAATTGAATAGACATATTTTGTCTTTATGCATCGAATATATTTTAAAAAGAAGCAAAATAAAAATATAACAGTAATTTACTTGCTTTTGAATGGAATTTGTCAGCTGCTCCTCATTTATTCCACAGTATTCTCTAATTTTTTTTCTCTGATGTATCTGGTAATCCTTTTTTTTTTTTAAATATTTATGACAATNACGTTCACGCCGGCGCGTACCACCGGTGGCCCGCACTAGACTGTCTCATCGGGCGGCTTGTACCACCGGTGGCCCACGCTTAACTGTCCCATTGGGCGGCGCGTACCATCTGTGATCCACGTTGTTCCAGGTTTGAACAAACAAAAATCACGCGCCGCCAGATGACGGGCATCTTAGATTCGAGTGCCTCCCCACAACGCAGACATTGAAAATCGGCCCCGGCGTCAACGTGTTAATCGAGTTTTAAAATACAACGAATTTATAATTTATTATTCATTAGTTTTCATTGTTTTATTTTTTATAATTTATTTAATATAAAAAAAAAGTTTTTTTTGATTAATTTTATTTTTAATTTTTTTTAATTTTAATTGTTTTTTCTATATTTCAGAAATAATATTTAAATTTGATCAATTTTAGATTTCCGAAAAATTTGGAGATACGTTTGAAGTGGCTAAATGCTTGTGGATTAACTGAAAATAATGATGTAAAAAGAACTTRCATATGTTCCAGACATTTCAAAGCTGATGATATTTGTCAATCAAAAATTTTTGGAGTTGTTAAATCTTCTATAAAACGTAATGCAGTTCCTACACTTTATTTAACAAATCCACTCAGTATTGATAAAACTAGTAAATTACCACCAAACACGCCGCTATCGGAAGTATTTGATGAGAATGGAGTCAGCAATCAATCGTCATCATGTTTTTCTGAGAATAATATTGTCAACCAATATAATGTACTCAATACTTTGCAAAAAAGTAAAATAATAAGATTTATGTATAAACATAGAAGGATAGTAACAAAAAAAATATTTATATATTATTTCTACTATTTGTAGGTCCAAAAAAATGTTTTGAAGTAGACAATACTGAATGTCAAACCTCAAATAATAGYAGCATTAATTTTGGTAAGTTTAATGGAAAAATTTAATTTTTTAATATTGTTAAATATTTTAATTCCAGGAGTCTCTTGTAACCAATCTGATTTAAATGAATTTATAGAAAATGCAAAATCAAATCCTATCAGCGAAGACGAAAATACTGGTGAGAATAAATATTATATTTTATTGTTAATATTTTTCAAATATTTTTCTAATTAATACTGTTTTATTCTTATTTAAAGTTCCACATGAAATTGATTCCCYAAATCAATTTCGAAAGCGTAAATTTTACGAGCCTYGTCATGTTAGTGAAATTTCAATATCAGATTTTGCGACGCCTAAAAGGAGTAAAAGAACCCTTTCTTTAATAAAAGAGACTGATAAAAAAAAATCGGATAAAATAAAGCAGCTACAGAGGCAAACGAGGAACCTCGAGAAAAAAATTTCATCTTTGCAAGATTTAATAAATCATCTTAAGRAAAACCGTATGTTAACTGATGAGAGTGGTGATGCTCTAATGGTATAGTATATTCTTATAACTAATATAAATTGTATAATTATAAAATTGTAAATATTTTACACAAATGTTATGGATCACGAATTTAACTAATAATTTAGTTTATTGATGTTTTAYGATAAGGTATTTATCATCAAATATTTGTAGCAATTGTACATATTTACATATTTAAAATTTTATTAATTGTACATATTTTTTGTGTAAAATAAACTTGTATCAGTTAAACGATTAGTTACATTTTTTTATTTTATTATATTTCACTAATATTTTCACGTCCAAGTACTTAAGATATAATTTAAAATTTTTTACAAGCATTTCCAAGAAACAAAAATAGTTTGAGTGAGGTTTATTTTTTTTTTAATTTCAAAAATACTTCTTCTTTTTAATAAAATTATTCTTTTAAATTCTCCTAAACAGTAAAAAAATAATTGTTCAGTATTATCTTGTATTTTAAAATAAATTTGCATTGAATTAAAAAAAAAATTTTATAATAACATTCCTGTTTTGAATAACCCGCTGCTTTCCCCTTTGCGCACAAAAGAATGCGCAGAACCGAGCTGGAACCTCAGAGRACAGAGAAAGTGTTATTCTTCTGTCTTTCTTAGTCGGAACAGCTTCCACTTAWAGAAACTGTCCATATAGAAGTATTACATACATGGATAAATCTAAAAAAACGCATTGAATCGTATCGCTCTCTCAGCTTATCGAAATGTGTAAACAACGAGTCTGACCTTGGGCCCCGTGATAAACTCCACCAATTCACGCTGGGCATTAGGCCTGTCAAAAATGTTTTTATTTGATTTAAAAATTTACATAAATTTCTTTATTACGTAAATATTATAATTATCAATAAAATTGTTTTGTATTCCTGGGTCAATGCAAGTCTTTGTATATTTTTTATAAAAACATATAAATATGAAATTCAATAGACTTATTTAAATTTTAATGAATCGAATATATTCTATGAAGAAGGAAAAGACAAATGTAACAGTAATTTACTTGCTTTCGAATGGAGTTTGTCATCTGCTTCTAATGATTTATACATTGTTGTCTAATTNGTACCACCGGTGGCCCGCACTAGACTGTCTCATCGGGCGGCTTGTACCACCGGTGGCCCACGCTTAACTGTCCCATTGGACGGCGCGTACCATCGGTGAACCACGTTGGCCCAGGTTTGAACAAACAAAAATCACGCGCCGCCAGATGACGGGCATCTTAGATTCGAGTGCCTCCCCACAGCGCAGACACTGAAAATCGTCCCCGGCGTCAACGTGTTAATCGAGTTTTGAAATACAACGAATTTAAAATCTATTATTCATTAGTTTTCATTGTTTTATTTTTTAGAATTTATTTAATATAAAGAAATTTTTTTTTGTTTAATTTGTTTTTTAATCTTTTTTCTATATTTCAGAAATAAGATACATTATTGTATTTTTACTGGAAATAAAATAAAAAAATATGTTTTATTTCTTGGTCTTACGTGTCCAGCTTCTTCTATTTGAAAATGCTTCTATTTTATTGAAAAATGAATGGAAATTTCCTAAATAATCAAACATTATAATTAAATAACACATCTTTAGATATTTATAAGATTATAAGAAAAATATTCTACAATGTTGTCTAGTTCTTTTTCTCTGATGTATCTTGTAATCTTTTTTCCTTTTTTTTTTTTTGTAAAATATTGCAGACAATACAATTATTATATTCTATATATTTTAAAATTATTAATTATAATATTTGCGATATAAAGAATTTAATATTAATTTTTTAATAAAATGGAAACATTTTTAAATAGAAAAAGATGACACGTTTGGTGAAATAAAAACAGACCACGCACCTTCTTTCTTTATTTCGACCGTCGGTTCGTCACCTACCTACGTGTTTATTTCTGTTTTTTCTTTTACCCTTCTATCGCTCCTATTTACAAACAGGTATAGGATCGAAACAATATGTGTCTACGTTTCGTAGTATGCAGTCGCACACAAACACACACATATACAACCAGGAGCGATAACTACGAAGCATAGCATAAACAGGAGACCGAGAATAGGAAAAACTGTATAGCTATACTCTGTCTCATTCTCTCGCAGACTCAATCCTATATGTTTGTCTCTTTTTCTCTTCTTACATCCGATTCGGCCCGTTTTCGTTATGCTGTTCCGTTACATTTTTTTTTAAATCATCCCTATTCTAAAAAAGTTGTCACTTCAACAAGCAACGACGTGTATACACGTCGAACGCATTTAACTGTTTAATTATTAATGGTAATTATTAATTACCATTAACTATAGTTATTCTTGTTTTGTATCAATTTATAATACATTAATTTCTACCAATATATACATATGTATATATTGCAATTAATTAGCCTGTGTCAACCTCTTTCCGCTAACAGAGAGTATATTCCCTTTCCATATATTTCATTTTGAACCATAAGAACTAAATATTCCTAATTTCTCATGGTAACACTATAAAATTTAGTACTGAAATTTGCTGTAAAAGAACTGTAGAAAAGTAAAGATGGTCTACAGTTGAACGGGACAACACAATTGTTGATATACACGGACGATATTGCTTTGTTAGGGGACAATGAAGAGTCATTAAACAAATTCATTGATACACTTTAGTTTATCACATTAATCATTGAAAAATAATTAACATCAATTATCATTCTAATGTCGGAAATCACTGATGAATTTTTGGGTAGATATTATTAAGCCCTTAAGCAGCACGCTCGAGTTAACTCCAGCAGCGTATTAATTTATATTTCTATGATTGTTTACACTCAAATATAATAGAAAATTGAAAATAAGAATGTGAAAGCAAAGAAATAGAATCGTCTTATTGACATTTATCATTTACAAGCTATAACAATTATTTATTTATTAATAAGATATAATCTTTTTCATGGAACAAAATCCAAATTAACATAAAACTATTGATTTTTTCTGTATTTTTTAAATTTCTTTGTCAAAACAATGTTCAAAGCTATGCTTTTATAAAAAACAAAATGATTTTGTCTGGCCGTTTTTTTTTCAAAATGCTTACTGCTGAAGGGGTTAATTAACAAATCTTTTGAATCGCATAAATTATGTTTCTGAAGTGTTTTAAAGATATGAAAAATAAATTGAGTATAGTTTTTTTCAATTTGAAGCATCTTAAATTATAATGAATAGACTTGGGCACCTTCAAATTTTATAATGAATGTGGTTGTTAATTTGGAAAGTGGCCAAATTACAGTTTTGATAAGAAAACGCATATTATTTGATTAATAATTGCCATTATTTTAATAAGAAACTAAAAAATTGAACTTCTTTAAATATACTTAAACAGTATGACTCGTTAATATCCTGTACGTATATTTTTAATTGCATTGAAACGCAAAAACTTCAATATCTCGATTCGAACATAAATGAAGGAAGGCAACTTTCAAACTAAATGGTTCATTTACATAAATTCTTTTTCCAAAGCAACACGTGTTTCACCTTCAAATTTAAGGAATCAAATTTCCTTAAGATTACAACCTTAACGAACCCCTAAAGTTCCTCTATGAGACGACCAAAATTCTTTCCATACCTAGGAAAAAATAAATTGAGTTATTGGTTTTTTCAATTTAAAGCATCTTAAAGTATAATGAATAGACTTGGGCACCTTCAAATTTTATAATGAAACTGGTTGTTAATTTGGAAAGTGGCCAATTTACATTTTTGATAAGAAAACGCATATTGATTGCTTAATAATTGCCGTTATTTTAATAAGAAACTAAAAAATTGAACTCCTTTAGATACAACTAAGCAGTATGACTCGGTAATATCTTGTACGTATATTTTTAATTGCATTGAAACGCAAAAACTTCAATATCTCGATTCGAACATAAATGAAGGAAGGCAACTTTCAAACTAAATGGTTCATTTACATAAATTCTTTTTCCAAAGCAACACATGTTTCACCTTCAAATTTAAGGAATCAAATTTCCTTAAGATTACAACCTGAACGAACCCCGGGAACAGGAAATAATTCTTTTTAAGTAACAATAGAAAAAAATCATAAAGGAAAAAGATATATGGCACAACCAATGTCAACTTTCTATGACCTTACTTTTTTTGAAAATGCATCGATGCACCCCCGTAGGTAGCTAAAAAAAAACTAACATCTTCAAAACTCTATCCATCAAGAAAGAATGTCGAATTCAATAGCCACAAATAGTAACAAAAATTGTAGAATATTTGTCAACAGAAATATACGCCGTCCTAACCTGAGTAAATACAGTATATTTTTTTGTTTGAAACTCAGGTAGATGAAGTTTTTCTGTCACTCTTTTCACCTTTCCTTTGAATTTGAGATATCTTTTTCATGGGTTAGCACACACAAATATTTCTTTTTGTGTTGCTCCTAATACCTGAAGATGCTGTAAAAAGAAGGGAACAATTGTTTTCCTTTAATCAAGTTTTGAAATACAACGAATTTAAAATCTATTATTCATTAGTTTTCATTGTTTTATTTTTTATAATTTATTTAATTAAAAGAAATAAATTTTTTTTTATTAATTCGTTTTTTAATTTTCTTGTAATTTTAATTGTTTTTTCTATATTTCAGAAATAAGATACATTATTGTATTTTTACTGGAGATAAAATAAAAAAATATGGTTTATTTCTTGGTCTTACGTGTCCAGTTTCATCTGTTTAAAAATGCTTCTATTTTATAGAAAAATGAATGTAAATTTCCTAAATACTCAAACATTATAATTACAAAACACATCTTTAGATATTTATAAGAATATCAGAAAAATATTCGACAGTGTTGGCTAATTCTGTTTCTCTGATGAGAATCATTCTAATCATTTTTCGTTTTGAAGTGAAAACTTCTTTAGAATGGGAGTGATCTGAAAAATAAATAAACGAAAACGGAGCTATGAAACGGCTGCTATACTAAATAACGAGAGAAAAAGAGACAAACATATAGGATTAAGCCTACGAGAGAATGAGACGTAATATATATAATATATAGC